GACCTGGGTGCCTTCTCAGTTGTGTGTTTAGTCTCTCAGCATGTTAAAAGAATCCATTAAATTCTTATTTTTGCTTGTGCCTTTTGTGTGTGACAAGCTGCTTTCCAGTAGGGTCCTAAAGCCTCCCCCTCATGACTGTCGCCACATTTTTTGTCATCTCACCATAATACAGTGGTACCGCGGGTTAAGTACTTAATTCGTTCCGGAGGTCCGTACTTTACCTGAAACTGTTCTTAACCTGAAGCACCACTTTAGCTAATGGGGCCTCCCGCTGCCACCACACCGCGATTTCTGTTCTCATCCTGAAGCAAAGTTCTTAACCTGAAGCACTATTTCTGGGTTAGCAGAGTCTGTAACCTGAAGTATCTGTAACCTGAAGTGTATGTAACCTGAAGCGTATGTAACCCGAGGTACCACTGTACCTTAAATCAGAGTGCAATCTGGTAACTGCAATGAGGACATGTCAATGCACAACATTGCTTTCAGATATTGATGCTGGACCTTCCCTTCTTCTTTAAAAAATTGAAAATTAGCAGCTTCTAACCATGATTGTCTACGTACTACCTCTAGTGACAGAAGCAGTATGTATCTGAATAGTAGTGGCTGGAAATCACAACTCAGGAGAATGCTCTTGCATTCATTTTCTACTTGCAAGTTTCCCACAAGCATCTCATGGCCACTGTGAGAACAGGATGCTGGACTAGATAGGCATTTGGTCTGATCCATCAGGGCTCTTCTTGTTTGTATTATCTGGGCGCTTTTTAGAGTAACCTTTTTTTTCATTCATCCTGTAGAGTGGATACAGATCTACAACATTTTAGTGGTGAGCTCACTGTAGAGGCACCATAGGCCCATATCCCATCCTTTCCCATGAAATAAAGCCTAAGGAAATCTGCTTTGAAGGTATCCAGCAGAAGCTGAATCTGAACCTGGTCTGATGTTCTCACCTGGACAAAATAGACACGCAGTCCTATATGTAGCTGCAGAGCTACTGGGCACTATCAGAGTGTAGAGTGAGGAGATGTTTTTCCTCTATAGGAGTGAAATAGTTCAGTAAAACGCTCTGTGAAAATGTCTGTACACTAAAAACAAAAAAATTAAGTTAGACACATGAATAGATCATAACCACCTTCTGAGCTAGATATTTTGCTGCCTGAGGCAAAAGACATGATGGCAGCCCTCCTGTTCTATGTACCAAAGCTGACCAGACTGAAACTTACTTCAGCACTGGTGGTGGGACAGCATCCTACCCCACACCTGAGGGCAGATGGCTACCTCAGAGGCCACAGGGCAGGCTGTGTGGCACATACAGCTCTGTTTTCCACAATCTTAATGCTGTTCCTCATCTTCTGTCATCTACCAACTTAGGTGGCCACCTCACTTTACCTAATAATAAGATTGACCCTGTACAACTTTCCTTCAATCCACAGTCCTCTGTTCTCTCAGGGTATGTGAATCAGACCTGAGGTTTTCTCACATGTGAGCTGGTATTATCTTTTTCCCAGTTGGATGGGGCCTGGGCCTGGTTCTTGGCAGGCTCCATTATTTTCTCTCTCACTTTTTCTCATGAGCAAGTAGTCCATCGGAATGACTAGTGTCATGCCAATCCCATTTTCAAGTATGCCAAATGAAGAGGTTTGCACATTCCTATTTGGAAGATCATTGCTCTCATGTGCTTGTCTGTAAATTTATCTTGCTGCTCAGTCTAAATAATCCCTATCTCTAATTCAGACCATCGCTTCCAATTACAACCCATTTTAGTATAAAGAATAGGAGGAGACTTTCAAAACAAGAGTTCTCTTTTCAGCACAGCAATAGCTGAGGGAAGAGGACAACCAGCCAATATCATCATGTTGTTGGCAGGCACTTGCTTTTCTTATGTCACTTCGGTTTACCTCAGCAGCAAACTTGCACTCCTCTTAAGAAAAGATAGCCATCCTCCCACTTCAAAAACATTTATTCATTATTTTAACATAAAAGGCAACTCCAAAAGAAAATATATTGAACTGTGTTATTCAAGGAACCACCTTAGTGTTTTCCTCCAAGGCCCCAGTTAATATATTCCAAATTCTTGGGATTAAATAAAAAAAGACAATGGTATTCTTTTGTCGTTGATACAGGATATGAGCCAGCATCAGAAAAAATATTGCTTGTGTATTTGTCCAGTGCAGCTGTGCATCTTTGTATACGTGAACACAAGGATTTGTAGAGTGGTTACAGTTTTGGACTAGGGCCTGGGAGACCAGGGTTCAAATCCCCCCTGAGCCCTGGCTGTGTCACAGTAGACCAAGCAATGTACTCAGAAGCCAGACTGGGCACCGCTGGACTGGGGGTGGAGGGGGCAAGGAAGGGGAGGGGGAGAGAGAGAGAGAGAGAGAGAGAGAGAGAGAGAGAGAGAGGTGGGTGTGATAGTGTGTACATGTGCACTGTGTTTTTTGACATGCATGTTTCTGTGTTGGAGAGCTCATGGGTGTGTGTGAAAAAGCGAGTTTATTACACTATGTGCCTGTCTGCCAGTGTGCAACCATGTCACAGTGTGCTGTATGAATCTATGTCATGATACATGTGTGCTATTCTGTACAGGGGCAGCCCATCCTATTTCGCCACCTGAGGCAAAACAGGAATTGTCACTTCCTGACTTCCTCACACCATGGCCCACTTCTGCCACTGCCACACCCCAGCTCTCGCCGAACTCAGTGGGAACCGCAGTGCTCCTCAAAGCATTGCCGACTGCACCCTGGAATGCCTCCCTCTCCATGGTGAAAGCTGAGGCGGGCACTTCACCCCAACGTCATGAGCTCCGATTCTGTATCACAACACTTCCGTGTGAGAGTGCTTGCCAACATTTGTGTGAAACTTTATTTCATCCCAGATGTATGATTACATGTCACAGTGTGGTTGAGCATACCTGTCACAACAAATACGGTCCTGTGAGTCCGTGTCACTTGTGAGCAGGGGGGAGTTGCTTAAGTGTCCGTGTTGTGGGGTGTAAATCCAAGTTACTTCAGAGTTGTCACCATTATGAGTCTATGGTATTATGATACATTTTATGTTATTATATATTATGATGGTATTATGGTATTATGTTACAGTGGTACCTCAGGTTAAGTACTTAATTCGTTCTGGAGGTCTGTTCTTAACCTGAAACTGCTCTTAACCTGAAGCACCACTTTAGCTAATGGGGCCTCCCGCTGCTGCCGTGCCGCTGGAGCACGATTTCTGTTCTCATCCTGAAGCAAAGTTCTTAACCTGAAGCAATATTTCTGGGTTAGCGGAGTCTGTAACCTGAAGCGTATGTAACCTGAAGCGTATGTAACCTGAGGTACCACTGTACATGCCATACATTCAAAGCACACGACTTCTCCTGAAGAATTTCAGGAACTGCAGTTTACCCTCACAGAGCTTTTATTCCCAGCACCCTTAACAAACTACAGTTCTCAGGATTCTTTGGGAGAGGTCATGTGCTTTAAATGGGCACTGTGTATACAGCCTTGGTGACTCCAAGCCCGGGCTGAAAGCTCCAGCTATCACAATCTCCTTCCATGCTTTGTAAAACGTGCTAGTAAACCTCCCAGCTTCACAGTATCAATTAGAAACAAAGGCAGGGGATGCCCTCTACTGATTCCCTGAAGTGTCTGCAGCGATAAGCTATAGAGATACTGCTGTGCTGCTTGCTATCATTTTTGCCCCCAGTAAAGCATGTGTGTCTTGTCAACAAGCTACTGTAAATAGCCTCTAACAAGAGATTCATTATAAACATATAACAGAGTAAATTGCTCCTTAGTGGATCATCTTTTTCATCTTAAATGTGAGTCTCTTTTTCTTTTTACAGACGCTCTCGCTGCGCCAGTGCTCTGCAGGTTTGAATAGCATCATCCTAGAAGGCAGCAGGAAATTGCAATAAAAATGATCTATAGATATATGATCCCTTAACCCCACCACAGTTTACACAAACCCTCTTCTTACTCGTTGGCTGGATGATCTGAGTAAATAAACACACATTTGATAGAAGAAAGGGATCTGGAGAAAATGACAGCTGCTAAAATCCAACCCAACTGAAGTTACCAGAGTTTAAGTTCTATTGAAACCAGCAGAGCTTACATTAGTCACAACAAACTTGTCCCATTGATTGGAATGGGGCTCACGCATGACAACATTTGTTGGATGAGAGCCATAATCTATATAACAGCTAACACATGTCACAAAGAGCTCAGTTCTTTTTCCACTCATTTCCGATGTTGAGACAAGATAGTTCTTTGTAGCCTGCAGCATAAATTCAGCAAATAATTGCAGATCTAAACTTTGGGTGGTCAACCGATGGAGTGTTTACAGTCAAAGCAGAATGAGGCCCCTTTAGTTAGCAGCATTCAGACTACAGAAATGAAGCAGGCTTCGTAGATATGAGGTTGCGTGTATCTATGGGGTGGCTAATTTCAAGGATCTATTCATGTCTGAAATGCTCTGAAATGCACTAAATAGATCTGTCTCCCACTTAACTGCACCGTAATGCCACTTAATATGCAATTATCAAGAATTATAGGGGAGTTACAAGTTACTAGACGTAACTCTATATTGGTCTAATAAATCATAGCCGATTAGACAGAGAACAAGTGTTCTGCCCACCTATGCTCTCCTCTCTTTAATCATGTGTTGGAATAAAGGAATTATGGGGTTTATTGCATCATATTTGTCTGTGCATATCCAAAATGGAAACTGTGGTTCAGTCTTGATGCTACAAACCAGTTCCATATCCTGGTTTGCAGTCCAATTTTAAAGCATAGTTTCCCAGTTCAGATGTTAGGGAAAATGTTTATTTACCGGTACTTACTTAATTCCTGGCCTTTCATACAGTTTGATAAACCCCAGAAATATTTTATCCCAACACATGAGGAAAGAGAGCATTCACTCATTCTCAGCCTCGTTTATTACTTCAGGACTATTACGTTTATTTTCAGGTAGGTGGCTGTGTTGGTCTGATGCAGTAGAAATATATATATATATGTCCAGTAGCACTTTAGAGACCAACTAAGTTTGTTCTTGGTATGAGCTTTCATGTGCATACCAAGCTCATACCAAAAACAAACTTAGTTGGTCTCTAAGGTGCTACCGGACAATTTTTTATATATTTCTACGTTTCTTTTATTATTTATAATTATTTATTTAGATGCATTTATATACCATTTCATATTTAAAAAATTATCTAAGCAGAACATGCCATATCTCTTAGGCAGACCAAGAATATATCTAGACCAAGTCATAGTGGTGCCCTGACTATGGTTCTCTGAAGGCTCTGTTAAATAGTTTTTTGATACCTATTTCATCCTCTAGAAGAATTGTTTACAGCACAGAGCAAGACAGATTCCTCTAGCTGCAGTGCTCCACTACTATAATTTGAGATTCTTGGTATTATTTATCAGTGGCTATAGAAAAGTCTACAAGCAATAGATAACCTTAAAACCAGTTTTCACCTGTTATGTAAAAGGTTAAATATGTCACAAAGCAGATGAAGACATACATCTTAAACGCCATTATAGCTCTGCTCAGCCTAAGCTGTCAGCCTTAACCTACTTCCTGGAATAGCCTCACTGAAGTCCATGGGAATATTTCAGAACAAGAAGTATAACATCAGAAAGTACTTCTGTCCATAGACAAAGAAAGCAATGGAGCCTTCTTAAGTGGATTTCCCATCGCAGCAGAGCTATAAAGTGTTGATGGATAGAGCTTATCATAAGTGAAAATAGCCTTGAGAATATAAAAGATGGGAGCGGAACCTTCCCATGGTCCAACAAGGACTGAAATGTGTAGAGCATAGCATCACCCTCAAGTGGGAAGCACTTGAGAGACAAGGGCGCAAGTCTCTCTTGAGATTGTCATGGAAGAAGGACGCCAGTGATTAGAAAGATACCATTTTGGAAAAGGACTCTGGCAAACTAAGAAGAATGCAGCTGATGTATGGAAGACTTTCATATATATATATATATATATATATATATATATATATATCCATAACATAATTTAAATGTTCACACTTAAAATGTACGTTGTTCAGGACAAACAGCATGGAGTTTGCCAACTCTCCTACTCAGGTTTCCCAATATACTACAAAGCAGGAAATGACTGGCCCTGTTACTGGAGGTAAAATACAGCCATCATGAGTAGTACCAATCAATAGCCTGAACCTCCATGACTATTGTCTTATTCACCTTTAAAGCAGTCCAAGTTGGTGACAGCTACTCAGCTGTTACTTACACCGAATGTTAGCATGGCCTAAACAGGGTCACTTTAGCTCAGCCATTAAATTCTAAACAATAAGACTGGGTTGTTGTTGTCGTTCTGCTTCTTAATTTGCATCAATGAACAATAATACCTGCATGGTCAAAATATCTGCACATCTTTCCTTCTTTCTGGAAAGTGATAATCACTCTATGAAAAAAATCCTATTGAGATTTTGAAAGGATTTTTTTAAAATAAATACTAAGAATACAGTACTTTGCCGGTCATAGAGGGATCTTTGCAGGACTCAAGAGAGCACTGTTCCTCTCCTTGTGCCACCCTCTCTGATGCATCAGCAGCACCCAAGGGAATACCAAAGATTGGAAGGTCTGTATGTATGTTCCAAAATCCCAGCCAGCTGATAAGAGCCATGCAGTCGAGTTGCAGCTACCAGCTCAAACCTCTTCATATGCTGAGCTTCGCAGATGGACTGAGGGAGAACAATAGGCCCGATTACCTATTTCCTCCAAATGTAAGGGAAGTGGCTACCCAAAGTGGCTTACAACCGACCGACCAAACCTTTTGTAATGTGCAAAGGTTTTTTGTCTGTTGTTCAGCAGAAGACTCTATGCATTGTCAGTTTTCTGTGAAATTGGTATTTTCTGGTGCCCATGGCAGATTCTTAATTTCCAAACGTGACGCTAGGTTGGTAAGGGATCCCTACCATAAAGTTTCTTCGTGGGTTAAGGGGAGTATAAGAAGGAGAGTAAAGTTCAGCAAAGGAGGGACTATCACCTCTGAGATAAGCACTTAGTTTCTCCTTCAATGTGGCCACTAATCTTTTGTTCATAGACACTACATGGTGTCCCAGTGGGATAGTTTTTGTTTTTTTTATGCAGTGAAGGTAAACTGAGGACAGATAAATTTTAAAAGTATTCCCTTTTCTCTCTTTAACCCAGAGAGACCCTGTGCTCCTCTAGATGTTGTTGGATCTCAGCTACTACCAGCCTCAGCCAGCATAGCCAATGGTCAGGGGTGATGGGATTTGTAGACCACAGATTCCCCACTCCTGTTTTACCCCATGAAGAGTCAACGGCGCTACCCCACAATTTCAGCAGGCCCTGATCCACTGACTTGCCCTAACACACCAGATGTGCACATTCAGCACAGACTATATGAGTATGTTGCAGATATTTATGCTTTTCCTCATAACTACAGGCTTGTTACATGACATTTGCTTTTTACAGGGAAATAAATGTATAAAATAGCAAACAAATACAATTCCTTGTTAATATAATAAAGCTTTTAAGCGAAGGCTTCGGATTTCATTGCAAGACTTGTTTTGCGGAGAAACCTGAGCTCCTTCAAATTTGCCTTGGCAGATGCAACAGCAGTGACTTGGCTGTAGGCTTTGCTAAACTCACACCATTTGCATTTGCTTTCCTTTTAATTTGGTGGTTGAATTTATCCAGGAAATAGGAGCCTTCCTCTCCCATGCCAAGCATTATCAGCTGCGGAAATGACCCTCATGGAACTTGCCCCTAATTAATATAGGCATCCCTGATTATCATTACCCATTTTCTTTCTTTCTTTAGTCCCATCCTGCGTTTCGTCATTGCAATCAACGTGACTTACAAAATGGCCTAGTGAAATATGAATGTTCGCTTGAACACGTAAGCTGTTCTGAGCCTTCTTTGCAAGGAAAATCGCAGCAAAGGAAGATGAGAGTGATTCATTTCTGCAGACCAGGAGTGCAATAGCTAAATGACACAATGCAATAATACTATTGATTCAGAATACTTCAAATAGTGCTTCAGACTAAGGAAGGAAAGCATACATTTCAGGAAAAAGCGGCTGATTTGTATGATTGCTTGTTTTAAAATTCTTTGGCCGAGCCATTTAAGTTATGACTCCTTCCATGTCAAGTGGAAGAATGCTTCAGAAAATGAGACAAGTTCAGACAAAAGGTGATGCCTGGGGAATCAGATGTGACATAGGTTTCATGAGATGCAAGGCTGAACCTTCACAGGGTTGGCTCTGCCTTTTATCTTTCAATAGCAGATAAATTGGATAACTCAGGAGTTCAAGGAGTGCAAATCTCTCTGATGACGCCTTAGAAATGATGAACTTGTCATCTCGGCATGACACTCTTTTCCCCAGCCTCCTAGGTCAAACATTCTCATCCTCCCCATAGCTATTTCTGTGTCTGTATGCTGGCTTCGCTGCCCTGTATATAAAAAAAGCAGATCCACACTCACAACATTAGATGTGTAACTTAAAATATTTGATCCTTATCTCTCACACTGACGACACTCCCACAAAATTTGACAGGCATTTTCCCTATAGAAGATAATCAAGTTTAGCTGCTGGCTTGTAAAAAGCATTGTAAATAAAATCTTTACATTTAAGTCCCTTGCTGAAAAAATAAAGTATGTACATCTAGCCTACAATAGCTAGTTCAGTCACCAAAGCTAAAAGGAGAAACAAATATCCAGACACTTAAAAAAACACCCTATAAAACAGCATATTAACACGATAAAATAGTGTGCCCCCTGCAGCCCACTCTGTTACTAAGTCAAATGAGTTCGGCCAAATTACACAGAATGTGGGGAACCCAGGACACAATCTTCAAACATCTTTTTGGACACATAAAAGCGCCTTCTAGGTACAAGGGTCAGTTGAAACAATGGTGCTTGCAAATAATATGCTTCTCCAACATTTCTCTCCATCAAATCTCATATTACGCCTGCCTTTTCCCTCCAAGCATGGTTCAGGAGCAGGATTAACACTCCCTACCCCAGCACTGATGCCAAAAGACAACATCTCACAGCTTACCCCGTGGCTGCTTTAATGTATTGACTTTGAGCGGAAGCCTAGATTGCTAGGAAGAATTACAAAGCCTCAGAAGAGCTCAAAGTAGTACATTGTTCTGACATCCAAATGAGGTCTTATCTTGTTGCTCAGGCCAGCTTACCCCACCTCTTTTCCTGGGAGTGATCAGTTTAACATAAGAATGTAAGAGTCTGCTGAACCAAGCCAATGGTCCAGCTAGTCCAGCATCTTGTTCTCCACAAGCAGAACCTGAGCACAAGAGCACACTGCCCTTCTGTGGTTTCCAGCAACTGGTATTAAGCTTAAAAAGGGTAGTCTCCGGGGCTGGAGCCAAGCACTCCATCATCTCCCTATTAGTTCTCTCCTAGCTCATGGCTTATGCTGGTTGTCTGGCAGTGGACTCAACTTTGAGAAGCAATCTTGGAAAAGTCCTATGCAAAGGTCTCTCAGGCCTAGTACAGTGGTACCTCAGGTTAAGAATTTAATTCGTTCTGGGGGTCTGTTCTTAACCTGAAGCACCACTTTAGCTAATGGGGCCTCCTGCTGCCACCGCGCTGCCGGAGCACAATTTCTGTTCTCATCCTGAAGCAAAGTTCTTAACCCGAGGTACTATTTCTGGCTTAGCAGAGTCAGCGTCTATAACCTGAGGTACCACTGTACTTGAATCTATCTCTTCCACAGCTTTTGCTGCAAGTTCTTCTGATGGCCCCTGCTTGTCTAAGTCAGAGCTGCTATCTAGAGTGGGGGACCACTTCATAGATAATCATAACTGGTAATCGAGCCTATTTATTTCCAAGTAGGTGGGAGTTGCAAGCTATAGCTCTCCATTACAAAGCTTTGTGTATGTTCTAGTGCACACAATGTCAGATTGACCCAATAGGCAGTAGAGATGACTCAGAATTCCAGTGGGTCGAAAAAATCTTCAAGGAGGTATGCATCCATCTCTGCTGAGATATTTGCTCCATGCAGCTGTATGCAACAAGCAAGAGCAACACAAGCGAGTGTAACACTCTGGAAAGAAACATAATCATCCACCACCATTGCCAGAAAGGGCCAGGGGAGAGTTCT